TCTAAAACGCTCGCATGAATATATTAAATTCTAAATTAAAAAATAAAACTAGAAAAACATTACTTTTCGGCTCCATATTTAGGCCCTCCTCAGATGTACAAAAAATTAATAAATTAATAAACGCAGTAAAATTAACAAAATTAAAACGATAGTGGAGTTGTCGACTGTCATGTTCAAATAAAGTTGAGTATTTTCTCAGAGGGAACATAAGAGCTCGTCAAGCGATTGGATGATCGTTTGCGAAAAATTCTTATGGTTCTAGTAAGAACACAAAATTACGTTTCTAAAAATTATGTATATATATATATATATATAATATTATATATTGTATGTATATCAAGTATGTATGTATATCAAGTGACGCGGTATTAAATATAATTTTATTATGTCATCGGTATCTTCCAATTGCAACCAGTCCGAATAACATTGGTGCAGCCAATATCGAGATCTAGAGATTGAGTCCTGAAAAGGGACCGTTTCATGATTTTTTCAGTCGTACATGTGACATATACATGTAAAGTGTTTTTGTCCATTAATCTGCTGTTCACAATGTCTACATTTAAAAAATAAATTAAAAATTAAATTAAATTAAGTAAAAAATAAAATAAAATGAATTAAACTAAAAAAAATTAATTAATTTAAATAAATAAATAAATAAATAAAATAAAATAAATTAATTAATTAAATAATACAATATTTAATAACGGACTCCTCATATTTCAACAAAACGAAGAAAATTAAAATCGGCCAAATATGTCAGCGCGGTAAGTAGTGCGCAAATTAATAGAATAAGTATTTACTAAATCATATAATACGTAATTACATCAACGGTTGAAATTTCACATAATTAAATCGATGTTTCGATCAACCGCTGATGTAATTACGTATTATATAACTTAGTAAATATTTATTCTATTATTTTGCGCACGACTTACCGCGTTGACTCCTATTTGACCAATTTAAATTAAATAAATGAAATTGGAAGAAAGAGAGGATGAGAGGGGGAGGAGAGAAAGAGTAAGAGAGAGAGAGAGGACAAAATATTTAATAATTAATTTGTTATTACTGTAAAGCAATAAAGAAGTTAAACCTGTATTATTTCGATATTTATTTATTCCTATAGTTTTGTAATTTAAGAAGTATTATAAACTAAGTAATAACTTAATTATTTCGTACGAATATATGTATATGCGAAAGGAGCTTTGTTTACATTGCGAATATAAGCCTATCAACGACCTACCACTTTCAAAACAAAGCAAAAAGCGACATTTCAACATTAAAATATTCCTATAGTTGAGTAATTTAATAAGTCAATATCTCTTTAACGAAGCGTTTGCGAGAATTCTTCCAGAGTTTCTTTGTTTTGAGGTCCTAAATACGTATTTCAAATTTTGCCATTTAAGCCGAGAACACCCCGTATATCTGTGTATGTGTTTGTATGTGTATCATATATAATTTAAAAAAATTGAGCTAGAAATGTGTATATACATATATACATATATATACATTTTTTAGCTCTATTTCTCTACTAAAAAATAGAATTTTAACATCTTTTTTTACATTTATCAAAAAAATCTTCACATAATATTCTATTAGTATCAAGAAAAAAAGTACTGAAAAAGTAATGATTCGTTATATTTTAAATAACTGTAACGATAACAAGTTACTTTTGCAAATCAATATAAACGGGAACGAGTTATTTTTTTAGGAAAAAAAACGGTAATGGATTATTTTTATGAGGTAACGTTGCCAACCTTGTGTGTATATATATATATATATATATATATATACATATATATAATGTAATTCAGGTTTTTCATTAATTTAATTTACATTATTACAAATTAAATGTAAAAATAAAAATGCACATAATATATGATGTCAATTAAGATGTCACGAAGATAGTAGGGTAATATCTCGTACCTGTTGTCGCGATTATATTGGTTCCTTGTTTTAACAAAGAACTATACACAAACCATACGCAAGAGAATAAGCTGAAGTTTTCGGAGTCGTGTTTGTTCCACAACTTCGCCCTACGAGATAATAATAATATTGAGAACTCAAGCGTTTCATAACTCGTAACATATTATGATTTTTTTTTATGAACCTGAACGTAGCAAAGATGTAGATTACGGGTCCAACAGAGACCACTGCAGCCAGCACAAACAGCCAAACGGTTCTGTTAAATGGTGCAAGTAATCCCGAACCGGTTGCCGATTCTTGCGGTCGCTTCATCATTACCGTCAGCTCGCCTTGCTCCAGGGTTGTACTGAACGTACAATACTTCCGCAACTCCGGTAAAATAGGCAAGAAGGCCACCGCCATATCTACTTTCTATTTGAATGAAAAAAAAAATATGTGTGAATTTTCCTCTGAAATGAATCGTTTGACTAATTATGACTAATTATCGTTTGACTTGAATTATCCTAGATAACATGCATATCAGAGAACGATATATAAGACGACTAAAAGACATAATATTTAAAGTTGATTCTACGATGAGTCTGTAGTCGGAAATTTTAGTTTTAATCGGTGAAGTTGACTAATCGTATTACGTATCGAACATTAGTCGTATTAGTGCAAGTTGGTTATTAATCGACTTTACCGATAAGACTTAGAACTATCGATTCATTGTAGAATCAGCATAAGATATCTATAATATTAAGACATTTTATGTCTCGATTTTCAACTTTTTGTTGTCTGGAATTTTAATATCTTAATATAATCAAATATAGATAGAATTTTTTGTCACAAAAAACTGATAGTTTTTTCTTCTAACAAAAATTCTGTCTATATTCAACTATATTAAGACAATAAAATAATTTACAATAATACACTAATTAGTCAAGAACGAAATTTGTTTCAGAGAAAAGTGCTTTACCTTCTCGTAAAGTAAATTTAGTATTCCACGTTGGCTGTTGCCCAACACGTGCTGCTTAGGCGGTATGATCGTATATGTGAAATTTAATTTGGAACTAAGCAACTTAAACAAGTAAAACGCATAGCCTTTTCCCACCCATGTTCCATTTTCCCTGACTAATCCAGAGAACGGCATGTCCTATAACAATTTTACATTTTCGCACACACAGTTAAGGTTCTTGGAAAATTGCAATCCTTACAAATTAATAAACTGAATTTAATATCAAGATAAGATCAGAAATTTGCTTTGGCAAAATTTGGTTTTATAGGATAAAATTGATAAATATATATATCATTGATAATACTAACGTTTATTAATTTATGATTGTAAATATTATTGCTTGGGAATAAATATATAATTATCTTTTGGCAAGATTATATCCAAGATCGGTACTTATATTGGAGTCTCATATAGTCAAGATTGTTTTAATTAGAGTCTTAATTGTAAATGTTATAAATCAATCAGCTATATTAGCATCTTAAATCATTACTTATGAGGCAGTCTTGAAATAAGAAAATCGATTAAAAATTGGTTATTAAAATTTCCTTTTTAAAGGCAATTGCGTGTATAATAATAAATAATATTATTAAATCCCATAATGATTGTGTCTATAAGCACCCTCAATGTAATTATTATTGCGCATTCATTATCGCAACGTTACGATCGTTCCTTGCGCGATTAGCTGCATACTTAACTCAAACGTTTGTATATTTTAATATTAGATATCGGGTTACACACGCTAATGAACGCTATGAAGATTGCAAGATGCGCGACATATATCGGGAGATACATGTATAATGGCAAGCCTGACATAATATTTATTATTAACCACGATACTCGCGTAATACAACAGCCCTAACAACTCGGTTACTCGATTAGCTGTTCTTTGTTTACCGCGTCACGCAAAACACGCGATGCTGGGAAGTTATTATTCAAGTTCTGACTACATATACGGCCGTCGCAATAATTATCCGCTTATACATTCTACACCAAGAACTCGAGGCTTTTAATATCTTTTTATGATTTAATACATAATAAATTATTGAAAATAATTAATTTAATATGCTCGAATTTTATATAATATATTATTTAATATCATATTATTTTTCGAAGAATAATGGTGATTACATTGCGCAATGACAATTTCGTGAAAAATGTGCTGCAGAAAATAATATATATAAAAAAATAAGCTTAGTGAAAAGTACAATTTACGTGCAAGATATGTTGACCATTTATTGCATGTTGTATCTTTATTCTCATTTCTAGATTTTTCCCATGACCAATATAGAAAAGTAGGACATTTTGTCGGTGATCAATAAATCACATAGAGCGGATGTCATTTCAAACGTGACATGATAATATTTTTATTTTTCACAAGTAGTCATTCATATAATTATTCCTTGTAGTTTCCTTCTTCATGAACAAGATAAGAACATATAAAAAAATTAATCAACGTAAATTCAGTATCTTAATAATTAAAGCAAATTGTATTTTTAAATTTGTGTCGAAGAAAATAAATTTATAATAGTGATTAACGTGCTTAACACGGACAGAATAATTTTACAGGAGTATCTATAAAAAACTTAATCATGAATATATAGATATGAAAACTTTGTAGAACCAATGAAATAAATATGTAAAACGTTCAAGCTGGTTACTAAAATGTCAAAACTTTTTGTAACTGTACTCATCATATTTCAACGTCTTACATGATTAATTTGATGGCAACAAAATTATTATCTGTATATTTGTATCTAGCTGAAGTTTTAGATACTTCAGCAATATCGCGTTCTTTGCGTGCAGATACAAATGTTTATCGTAAAAGAAGTGCGTGGATCTTTTACACTGCGGTAAGAGCTGCAAATATTTTTTTCTATTGAAAATGTTACATCGTGACATTTGCTCTACACTCCTATCACTCATCATCAAGTAGACTCATAAAAATGCGCATTCATGATGTCATCATGAAAGATACAGTAAAACAAATATCGTGTCATATGTATTAGGTGTTTCACGGTATATTTATATGCACGATAACATCTATAATATCGTTAAAAAAATATTAACCAGTTTATAATCTGATGTGGTTTGTTATTATTATCACATTCACATGATAAAAAAATTATGTTGTTAAAATTATGTTGATTCTTGATGCACCTTTACGCTAAAATATCTTTTTATTAAGAAACTTAAAGTTAAAAATACGATAAAATAAATATTATACACACACGTTGATCCATAAATTATTCTATTCAACGATTTAATTAAACGTTACTGTACTATTTCCCAAAATGTTACGGAAAGCTTTACCCTCAAAGTTTTCGAAAAATTTTAACGTTTGCGTTGACGTGCAAATAGTTAAGTTGGTTTCTGTTATATCAAATATTACGTTGCTACTTTCTCTTGATATAACAGCGACCGAACTAAACGTCATTTTGTCCCTACTGGGAAAGATAAACAGCAAAAGTTCTCGTTACTAGCTTAGTTGCTTTGATTATTATTCGTCGTATTATTTGGGAAAGATTACTCGCGTACGCAAAATATGTAAACATAAACAAATGGGTTTTTCTATCATTCATTTTTACCTTTTTTTTCCAAAGATCAAATGTAATCCTATAAAATATTATTTTTTACGTCAATTGTGTACGGTATATTTATATAATTATTAGACTCACGTTCCAAGATGTTATTTTCATTTCTGTGGGTATCGTTGACTTTACGGAACTTCGTCCGTCAGTTGTATTATCTGAAAGGATAATATTGTCTTTTTAATTAACGTTAATGATATGACAAATTACGGTAACACGTTCTAATCTTCTAACTTGACAACAGTGCTATTTTTTGAACGTTAACAACAACTTTACAGTTGTTTTAATATTAAAATAATAATATATATATATTAATAATGTATATAAAGAGTGGACAATTAAGGAAGAGATCACAGATTATTGCAAGATGTTACAGATTCTAAGAACATCTTTCCGTTGCGTAATTATGCATATATCAATTGCTTAGAATTTTGTAAAAATGTTAAAATATATCCATTTTGTTAAAAACACTAAAGATGATCGGAGAATAGGTCGAAACGTCTGACCATAATAAACATTAGATATTATTTGTTATTTACAGAATAGTTATAACAGAAATAGTAAATATTATTTTGGCTCGTATTTATTTAATACTTTTGTTTTTTTAATAAATGCTACTCAATCGTATAAATAATAAACTATCAATATTCTATAACAGCAAGAAAAATGATGTAAGTAACTAATTTATTATATACATAATTGAATTTTAATTGTTATTATTATTAATTGTGTATATAATTAATTAATTACAATTTACTAATTAATTTAAAAATGAATAATTTTCATGAAGCTTGCGCGCACGATTTCTGTTCATTATCGATATTAACTCTCAGCCGGCAATGTAAAATTTTCATCTTTTCGCAACCTGGATCTTCGAATTTCAGAATTTTAGAAGGGCAGAATTTTATATCGTTGCAAGCTGTATAAAAATGTAAAAAATTCTACATATATTTACTTGTGAAAGCTTTGATAAGTTTTTATTATCATAGAAGTTGAATTGCATTATTCTGCTACTTTTTTCAGATTTAAATTTATAAGAATTCACAATAAAAGAAATTGACTGTGTTATTAAAGTTCAACATTGCCGGTGGAGGATTAATTTGAGTAGCGAATTTAGACAGAGGTCCACTAGACAGGCCTATATACAGGCGCCATTCTTCTAGTAGGAATCAAATTAAAATTAATTTTGTATTGTATTTGTGCAGGATTGCCGGATTGTAACACATTTTCCACCAATGTGGCACCTTAAAGTAGTGCATAAAAATAAAATCTTGACGCTTTAGTGGAAAAGTGATACTTTTCGACAATAGTCAACTTGTTTTTTTGTATCATTTATTCGTTTAAAAAGGGCGCGAAGAAGTACAGGGCCTAGGGTGCAAATATGTATAAATCCGCCACTGATTAATTTCTGTATCATATATATTCAAGCTTATCTTCTTCTCGCAGATTCTTATAATTATAGTGCTTGAAAAAAATTATAATAATAAATAAAGTATAACATGAATTTGAACAAAAGTCAATTAAATAATTAGCTGACTAGCTTACTTTGTCCGTACGTGATACAGTGACACGTCGCAAATATAAACGTGCCGAGTAAAAGTTGTCGGAAGCTGCGCATTCTTCAACAGTGTCTCCGACTATACATCTTATCTGCGCGCATCTTCATCGGATCGTCTCGTGGCTCTTCTCCAACCGGAAATGTCTCGTGCGACGTGGCATAACCAGCAGCCAGGTGAATCGATACTGACACTCCAGTCATCCTGACCCGGACGATAGCAACGTAGTGACAAGCTGTTTTATGTCAGCGTGTCACGCGACCGTCGAAAGTACCCAAAGAGGGGAAAAGGGTTGACACGCGGAAACCCCGACAACGTTCTGTACGGCGCGGGCGCCGTCAACCCTCGACAGTATCCCACGCAATTATCTTTTTTCAAAGATTCCATTGGGTCTCGCAATTATTAACCACTTTTATGCTCATAATTACCGAAACGTGTGCCACTTTTCTTCGTTAATCGTGAAAAATCAGATCTAACAATTGATAATCAGGCGCGCACCCAATTTTAGGTTTATTCAATTGTTTTTAACGTATCAAATGATGTATTTTATATCTCGTATAGATGCGAGATTGACGAATAGAAAAATTTAGTAAATTGATATGTATGTATTTTGTCATATTATATGTTTTATTAGTTATAAAATCGTGTATTCAGATTTTTCAAGATGGTCAAGTTTTAAAAAATTTAAAGTAACTCGGGAATAGTCACTTGGAATATTTTTGTATTTCAGCGATGAGAAAAAGTGGATTGTAAAGTATTGTTTTGTTTGGATATTGTTTAATATAATTTTCCTTTTTCAATGACTATCCTCTATGTTTAAATATGTAATTTCATAAAAAATCTGTAATAAGCAGCGTGTGTTAATTAAAATTTTATTTTTTAAAAACATCGTCATTTATAATTAGCTATTTAACGTTTGCCTATTACGTTTAATATTTGTTTGATTTGCATTTACGCATTTTTCAGAAAAAAATTGTGATTAAATTCTTAT